TACAGTTGGAGACCTTGTCGACTGAAGGCAGAGAAGGGGGATTACCCTAGGTAACCTGCAATTGTGGTGGACCCTCGCCCCTTAAACAAGGCAGCAAGCACAAAGGGGCGGATAACCCTACTTCGTATGTGACGGGTCCACCACTGCAATCCGCATTGTGATCAGACTGTGGAGTTCAAGCCGTCCGGTATTCATCGTTGAAAGTATTCAAAATTCCTCCGCTGCCACCGCTACCACCACCGCCACCGCTACCACCACCGCCACCGCCTCCACCACCGCCTCCACCTCCGCCTCCACCCTCGCCACCGCCACCGCTTCCACTGCCGCCACCACCTCCACTGCCGCCACCGCTGCCCCCGCCGCCACCAGCGCCGCCGCCACGGCCACCGCCACCGCCACCGCTGCTGCCAAAGCCGCCACCAGCACCATCGTGATGATGTTGACCACGGCACTGATGACTACCATGACTATTCCGCTATTACTTTCAGAGGCGCTATCAATATCACTCTTGGTGTTAGGTCTTCCATTCTCGTTACCACTACTTGTCCTAAGATTTAAGAAGGACAACCACTGCAAGTACTATCCACACGGTTCATACTATGATTGATGGTACCTCTTCTACAAGTAGAATTGCTATAGCTGCCATCACCACTAGCTGCTTCCTGCTCCTACCATTACAAATTAATTACCGCAGGCGGGCATGCCCCCAAGAATGAAATCATGATTTGAAGAATGCTGTTGCACTAATTATTTCTCCGGCCAAAAGAAGACCCGTGATCTTGATGCAAGGAATACGGCAGACGGCTGAACAGCAGTCACATACGCAAGGCTCGATGTTGTCATTGGACCATGCAATCCGACAAGTAGCCTACTTCGCATGAGCTGAGAAGCCCTTGGCCCAAAAAATCTCGCTTTGGGACGCGGCGACCCTGTCCGAGAAAGAGGCGTTTGCAAGATTTTGGCGAAGTTCTAACTCACTGGCTGCCCGTGTGACTCACGCATGTGTCGCGTCAGGGAACGATGATTCCCTAACTACTACTACTACTACTGCTACTGCTACTGCTACTGCTACTGCTACTGCTACTGCTACTGCTGCTACTACTACTACTACTACTACTATGACTTCCGCTTCTGCCGCCGCTGGTACTTCTGGTGTTATCACTACAATCGCGGTCATTGCCGTTATCATGTTTCATGACGCGTGCTGACCCTGCAGACATTTTGCTTGAGCATTTCTTCGGATGCTCCAAAGGGCACTCGTGCGCAATCCTGTACAGAATTTGCTTGCGGTGCCACTGGCATCACGGCCTCCTCTGCTCCCCAGTGAGTGTGAGGTAGTCACTATGGTCTGGCTGAAGTTTTAGTTGGAGATGTCTGTTCTGCCGGCCATGGTCACCACCTGATGCTGCTCTCAGTTCAGGAGGCCTCGAGTCACAAACTCAATCTTCAAGCAAGGGATTTCCAGTGACCCAGAGGGGGAGCTTTCTACGTACAAAGGCCTGGGCGATCTTGAAAAGCTACAAACCTGAGAATTCTTAATCATTAGGACTTGTAGCTAGAGCTGCAGTGTGCACCTGCTCAAAGGACAGTTCATGCAGAGCTTGCGTGATCAGAGGGGCTTGACATGGGCTCCTCCTAGGGTTTAGCGTTTAGGATGGTTTAGGATTTAGGGTCCTTGACCAGGGCTCCTCCTCCTCAAGGAGCGGATCCATCAAGACAAGCCACTAAGCCCTAAGGACTTGGCGCATGATGCAGCTCAGTCTAACTCCCCTGCTGACTGCCGCTTACTTGAGCTATAGTCTTAACTCCTGGTATCCCCCTTAGTGACCCCTATAATACTCCCTGATATACTCGTCTCTGAGGAGTTTAGACTATACCTGACATGTCTGAGGTGCACGCTGACCAGGCCCAAAGCATGGGCTGACCTGGCTTTGGGGAATATTGGGGTTATGTAGGGAGAATCGAAAAGATGGAAACTTATTGGGGATATACCTTAAACCCTAAATCAAGGGCTAGTAGGGAAAATCACGCAACCGGGGCTTTGGTTTGGTCTATGAGGCTAAGTGCTCTTCGGAAACACCTTCGCCATGGGTTGGGCTGTGTTGCCGAAATAAGGCTAGGACCAACAATACGTATACAGTAATAAAAGGTACTATTGAACATGCTAGTCATCTCAAATCTAGCCTCCGCTTGCCAGGGCTTGCCACTACCGCGCATTAGTGCCCATTAGCGACACTGGGATGACAAGTCCATATGATTCTCAGTGAGGAAAGTGAGGAGCAAGGTCTCCAGCCTTTTCGCTGAGACATGCCAAAGGTTGGATGCTTCTGAATAAGCGGCAGCTCAGAATTCTGAGTCCACGATGCGATGTGCCTTCTGCAAACCAGCTTCAAGTCTGCAGTACGTTTTTCCAACTTATCAACTACTATGCTTTCCCCAAAACAAAACTTCCTGCGGATCCAACATGGTAATCCAAGAGCTTCCGTCATCAACGAGTTGATGAATTGCCAAGGAGCTGGTTGGAGTGATGGCAAGAGTGTTGTCATTGTCAAGTTGCGAAGAATGGTGACCCGGGGAGGAGATAAGATAAGATGAGTGACTAGAGCTGGAAGCGATATTACAGGATCTAATATGAATTGCGTCGAGGCTTCTTCTTGACAATTCACTACACATCTCGAGGTGGAGAGCGACCTGCCGACGGCCTTGTCATGTCTGTGAAGCTGAGAATTCAAGCCCTGCGCCCAAAGCCTACTCTTCACCCCAACTTGATCTTCTAGCATAGCTTATCGGGTGCAGCTTACCAAGAGTCCTCACGACACATACAATATTCTAGTAGAGACGTTTATCAGCAAGCGAGCCAGCAGCACACTACCCATTTGGGAAGGTCTGCACATCAGTACATCTTGCAGCACTGGTTGTTCTTCTTGGCGGTTCGGTAGAACCTTGGTTGCTTGAAGCTTTTAACCTGTGCAAGGGCAATTTCTCAAATTTAGAGTTCTGTCCCCCATATACTTTACAAAACATCTAACAATACCTGGCTGCTGCTAGCTCCAAAAGACAATCATCCCCACGCTCTCCTGGATTCTGCGATCATCTCTATCTCTGTGCAAGTCCGTTCCTTGCCTGGAGCTCTGCATTAAGAGCCTACACCCCAAACCCTAATGCCCTTTCAAGGCATGGCTTTCTTGCCCCATTCCTGTGGTCCCCAAGTTGTGCAAGTCGTGGCAGAATGGTTTGTTCTTCAGGTGAACCTACCCAAGAACCTACTGAGTTGCTGTTAAGGAACTTAAATCAAGTTACCATAATGGGTACATATATATATATTGTAATTAATATGGTTTCCCCAGTATAGTAGCTTAAATCGTTCCTGATCAGCAACTCAGCTAAGTGCGACTTTCCCATGTTCTCTAATCCTTTAGTGAGACCGCTATAACCCATGTACAACCCCAATATACTATCGTAATTTCGATTTTCTCTTCCATTACCCCTATATAACCCCAATATACGATGTATTCCTGGGGTCTTCAAAAGATACTCTAATGCTTCAGTGGGACCCCTAAACCCTGAACCCTAGGAACCCTGTATTACCCCCAAACATCCCTGGGTACTTTAAAAGATACTCCCTGCAGGATTCTTGCCGCGACACTGCACCGAGGTGCTGGATAGGTCCTGCTGGCCAGGGCAAAGGGGATTGAGGGTTTTAGATTTACCGGTTTAGGATTTAGGAGTTTAAGGTGCTTTTCGACTCAGGGTTTAGGATTTTACGGTGTTTTTCAACTCAGGGTTTAGGATTTGGGTTGTTGCTGGGCCAAATCCTTCATTCGCCAAAGTAATCTCATGTGGCGGGTGTCTGAAAACAGGAGGGGGTATCTGAATGAAATGTCAGGCTTTCAAAGGGATCACAGCAGTCCTAAATCAGAAACGCTCATGTTTCTTATAACGTAAGAAAGTCCGACGAAATGGTAGACTTGAGGTCATGCAGGTTTCTGTCCATGAGCGTAAGAAGTTAAGTAGGATCCCACGGTTACCAGCATAGGGCCCCCATAGAAGAAAAAAAAAAGGGTTTGCGAGAACATTCTGAAACACAGACCGCAACTTCGCCACCACCTGGCTGCTTCTCGAAAAAAGCTGTTCCATGAACCCCGAAATCCCCACACCCTAATCCCCTAAACCCCCAAACCCTTGGTTGGGCCTTGCTTTTCTGCATCAGCTGGTCCAAAGACTCGCCTTAGGAACCGTGCCAGGGATGACTTGATCCTAACATGATGGACCCTTGTTTTTGTTGATGCTTGTCTGCCGGGGGGTATGCTCGAAGCAGTTGGATATGAGCTACTTCTCACCAATCTTGAGCCAAGAGAAATAATTGCTCCACCCTTCTAAGCTGATGTTGAGGCAGCAACCGCGCTTGAGCAAGTCGTCCATCGACTGCATGACAACCCCCTTCACCTGCCAAGGTTTCTACAGAGTTGTTGCGGTCTAGAAGTAGGAGTTGCTTGAATACGGTAGCAAGGCTGAAGCAATTTGACTTATGCAAAACCCGCAGTTTGGCCGGGAAGGGCGTATAGAACTTTCTCGAAATATTTGTGGTTTCTGGAGTGCGAGACTAGCTGTTACCCGCCTTTGCCAGCAACAGCCTGGCTCATGGTGTGGCAATAGCCTACTGTTCCCCAGGACTAGGTATGTAGGGTGATGCAGCATGCAGGATCCCTGGAAAGCCTTGTGCAACTGACCGCCGCCTCGTATGAAAGAAGCCCACCCCTCTGCAGCTGTTAAATCGAAATACCAACACCATATCATTGGAAAACCCATGCCGTGCACAGCTAGCCGGTTCCCTCACCTCTAACCACTTTCAAGAAGCACTCTCAATCCTACTCCGATACTGCTGACACAGACGTCTTGACGAAAGTATAAATCGCACACCATCGTATCTAAGCGGACTAGATGACATGCTTGGGACGGTCGGGTACTTTGGTAATCACACGCTGTGTGCTTTGGCGACCTCACACCAGCACGTGTCGTTGAAACTTCACTGGCACTGGCCCTGCGCGCTGCGCCAGAGTAGCTCGCTCAAAGGACAACTCTGGAGTGCGATGTAACTGGCTATCCCTCAGTAGTAGCAGTGCCAGCATCATCTCCATGACGGCCATTGCAAACTTCTCCCCCGGGCACTTATGGACCCCCTGTGAAAAAGTTGTCAGCTTGTAGGGGTCCACCGGAGATGACATGTCAGCACTCTGAAGTGTCCACTCGGGCCTATCTAATCGAAACTCTGAAGCATTGGACCCCCATACGGATACATCAGAATGCGTGGAGTTATGGGCAATGGCGACGGTTGCACCGCGAGGAATGGTCAGGTTGGAGGCTCTTGTCTTGATCTCTAGCGGTGCGTTAGCATAGCGCAGCGCGCCCAGGGTATGCGCAGTGATACGCATAGTTTCGAGCACGCACTGGCGCAGTGTGGTAGCTGCCAATAGAGCCTCTACACCTCCCTTCTGCCTAGCGCCATCCGCCATCGAAGCTTGCAGCCTCTTCGCCTCTGTCGCTGCCGTCTGCTGCGTTGTCACATCCAAAGATCGAAGAAAACACAGAGACTGCGCAGCTCCAATGGCCGGGTTCTTGTGCGCCGCAAACACCAAGCCGACAACAAACTCGGCGGCATCTTGCAGCGGCACTTGCTCAGACCAGAAGGCCCGGAGCCAAGGTCCCGCCTCAGCGGCCTCAGCCTCTGTTTTTACGGACTCCAAAATTCGCTTCAAGCGTTGCGTCAGGCGCCTTCTGGAGAGCGCCATGGGCCAGAGGCACAAAGGAAGGGCAAGAAATCGCGGGAGGACCGCAGCCTTTGCGGTTGCATCCTCCACATTGTCTTGAAAGGACATGAGTGCTGTCAGTAACGAGGGATCCCTGTGTAGGAGCCAGGGAGTGACCAAAACATCCAAGGCGGCACGCAAGATGCATCTTCGAACCAGGTGAAACACATCAGGATGAGAAAGGGTAGCATCACGGCTGTTGTGCGCGCGGCACTCGTCGTCCAGTGCCGTCGACAAGGCTTGGAAAAGCGTGGGCAGCATGGTGTCAAACTTTTCCTTTGATGAAATCTCCTGTCCAAGGACAAGTGGGGCACAGCTACTGAGGAGGCTCTCCCTGCACATCGAAACATGGGCGAATCATTAGGCTTTTGCGCTTCTCCCAAGTCCTCCTTGATGATGCGCTTGTGAAACGTGGTTCCCTTGTACACATTTGCAGTGCCCAAGAGATACTCAAAGCCTATCTCTGCCACAGCTCGCTGTGCTGAAAGCACCGTGGCGGGCTGCATTGCAACCTGCTTCATGGCCTGGGACGTCTCGTATCAATGCCCAAATATTCAGAATGCGTTTGGGGGTGGGGTGCAGTTCCTACTCATATGCACCCGTTCAGGGATTTACCTCACGCCCAGTACTGTAGCCCAGGAATCGGACTAGATTAAGCTTCTTCCCATTTTGGCTTCATGCTGGTACCTCGGGGTCGGATCCAACAACCACCATGCGACGGCCTGCCAGGTTGATGTAGAACACCTTGCCAACACGCTCCTCCTGCCGGCGAATGCAGCCCGCAGGGTCCTCTTTGTACTGCAGCGCGTGCCCCAGGAGTGGGAGACCACCCTGTGCCATGGGAATGTTGGGAGCTTTTGCGCGTCTCTCCTTGCGCCACCACACGAAGATTCCCACGAAGGCGCCCGTACAAAGCACAAGCATCGGAATGGGCGTCGACCTTTCCATCTTTGGCAGCCTGCCTGCTGTCACGGAACACTCCGCCAAGGCTGCCTCCTTGAAGCATCTAAGGTCTATATTAGGTGGCCACCTTATGATAGCGGTATAATAGAACATGATAGGACCCTAATATAATCACCATGATTCCTTCTGGTCACTATAGCTGGGTGGGGGTCTATAGATGTTTAACGTCAACATGGCTATGATGCGCTTGCCCAGCACCCTGAATCGTTGACCATGTTTCTCCCACAAGCGCAGGCCAAAAGTGGCTCAGGTTTTAGATTTGAGTGTTCAGGGAGGTTTACAGTCGGGGAGTCGGGGATGTGTTTGACTCAAAGCTGCTGCGCCAAAGACGAGGGAGCACAGCAGCATGAGAAGAATCATGCCAGAGACCCCTCATGGCCGCAACTCCACACATGATTTCTCAACCCGCAGTCCCCTTTCAGGGTGCTCAGGATGGGAGGTCGCAACATGGTCGTAATGTTTTCAGAATACGGCTTCAGGGAAACCCTGATTTCAAAAGAGACTCACTTAGAATGCCTCCTCTAACCCCTTATGCCATATGCAATCTCCTAGAACTCACCACTAGCCGCCAGGCCTCTTCTAAGTCCTTCTCGATCTTTGTCAGCTTGTCCGCCTAATGAGACAGAATCATCAGCATTGAACCCTGAGGCTCTGGGGGAATCAGAGCACACTACAGAAGCAGCAAGCATGACTATGGTCAAACGGGCAGCTTGCAAGATGTGATTAGAGAATTAGGAATGCATGAGCCGCATCAGGACGGCTCCGTAAGCTGGCCCTTCTGCCACAAGATGCCACAATCAGTATCTTTCTCGCCAATAAGTCTTGTAACCCACCTTCAGCACACTAGCCAAGTGCAAGCCCGACACTTCCGTGAGTTGGGCAGCAGTGGGTGCCAAAACGAGCATCTCTTTATTTCGTTACATGTGGAAGGTTTCATACAAGGGCCACAAAGAAAGGGGAGCCACATGAGCCACACTTGAAAGAATTGTGTGCCTCCGCTGGGTTCTGGAACTTGGTGAAAAGGGCCTGCGCAGAAACCAAGGACAACTGCGTCTTTGGAAGTCTGGAACGGAGAAGTCCGAATGATCAATGCCAGCACTCATGCCTTCAGGGGGGAGAGGGTTCACCCATCAGCAGCTTGGCAGCTTGCTCCGTATTTGGGATATCGGTATTTTCGACCCGAAGGCCAGGTTCCGTGCGCATGTCTGCAATGGAGAAGCACACATCAGCAGCTCACTGGTTCTCAGTAGGGCATAAGGGAATATAATCCCAATATAATCCCTAATAGGGTTTAGGGTTTAGGATTTGTATAGGGATTATACAAGAAGGGGTAATATCGGGATTGTATAGAGATAATGGAAAAGAAAATGGGAAACTCCGAAGATATTCCCATAGTGCCTACCCAGGACCAGTAAGGTAAGCTTCTGGGGCCTGGATGTCGGGAGAGTTCAAAGCCACGTCGGCTTTTGCACCCTGGCAGCCATCAGCCCCAACCTTCCCCAAAGTTCAATCTTCCCTTTGTAATATACTATATGTGCCATTGTCTAAACT